GCTGAGTGGGTCATGACCTTATGAATCAGCTGAGAGGCTGAGAAATTGAGAAATCATGACTGTACTAAGACCTAGTTTGCATTCTCTGCTTATAATCTGGAGGAATCCCACAAAAAATGCAGCAGCTCTTAGAATGGAAGTTAGATGCCTGTGGAAGGATCTCAGATTCATTGCAGCCAGTACTGCTGTCTCTTGCAGAACTCTGCAAGGAGGTCCAAGCACTCTGTCACCACTCACTCTCCACATCCGGTGGATCACAGAAGCCGGTTGATGGCCACCCCTGTATTCTGTCTTCCATTCCCATCTGTCACCTGGAATCTCATCCAGGCTGCAGCAATAATGTCTCAACTTGTATATTTTATATATTCTGGTTCCAATTTAGTAAAATTAATGTATCTGATGAGATTTATTTTGTGTTAGGAATGCAATAGAGTCAAATTAGTTAAAATCCAGGTGCCATAAGGCCTAGTTATGCTGCCTGTTCAGCCTGACCATTGTCTACCAATGATCGTCCCTTTCTGGGTGCCCCAAATTCTTCAGGTTTCTTCCTTCCGCTGTCTTCCCCCAAGCACTCTTCTTTCTTCATTCTTTGCTTTGACCTTTCCTACACTCAGGGCCCCAAATCAGTGTGACTTCTTTAGACAGACCTTCCGAAGCTTTCAAGGTGAGCTATTCTCATGGTAGTCAGTAACATTTTTGTGTAAAATTTTGACTTTTTATGTGTGTAATAACTGTCCTCTTTAGACTGTAAGACACTTTCAACAGTGATCTGAACTACAGTCACACATCTATTTAATATTGAGCAGGCACTCAGTAAATCTTTACGAATGCAATTTAGTCTTCCTCACCTTATACTCATGGGGTACGTTACCTAGCAGATTACATAAATGATAGAATTCCTTACAGGATTGAAATCTGTTGGTTTGTTTCTTAGGGAGGAACCCCACGGTTCACAGGGTGAGATAAAATCCTTTGGGGAAGCTCTAATATGGAACACACACATGCTGTTGGACTTGATTTTTACAGCAGTTTCCTGTGAATTCCATAGTCATGGTTTTTAGAACGGGAGACTGATGCCAGAAGGATGGAGTGATTTTCCTAAGTTCACGTGGGTCAGAGATACTGGAGGTAGGGTGCCCAGGATAGTTCCTGACTCCAGAATTTCAGATCTGCTTAAAATTATGGGAAAACATATTTTAAAAATATTCTTTTCTTCAGTATGGCACTGGTTAGGCCAAGGCCAGAAAGTAAAACAAACATGAAGATGAGGTACTTTAGATTCCATGTGGCTAGTTTGAGAACAACAGATCTGAAAACAACAGAATGAGAGAAGTGTAGAGTAGGGGGCAGGAGGAGGCTCTAAATATTTTTATGATAAATTTCATATTTTCCTCCCCAGGAAAATACAGTTGCACATTTCTGTTACACATCTGATGGGATTTGTGCACATTGGATAAGGTGAGTGTAAACTTAAGCAGGATATGTGATTCTGTATCTTGTTTCTCTTTGATGATACTCAAACCAGTCTACTTCCTTTCTGTCTGTTCTTTTCAATACTGTTTATGTGTATCTGACTCAAAGAGGCTCTTGAAGGAGTACAAGTATTGCAGGACAGGGCTGGAGAGCATGGGGTAGGGCAGATCCAGTGTTGGGACTGCTTGTTTCCTTGGTTCTTCCAAATTGTTTGTGAGGCTGGAACTGGAGTGGTTTGTACTAAATCAGTTTGGAGTCCTTTTTAAAACAATTAGTTTTAACTTCTCTGTGTAGTACCTCCTCCCCCTCTACACCTGCTCTTAGCGCCCTACACATAAATGATTGTTAATGGAGAACAATTTCTACCAGTAGATTTGTAGGGAAAAGGAAGGAAAATGACAATCCGGCTTTGGGAAAGGTTGTGATCCCTGAGTGCCTTGCCTCCGTGGACAAGCAGGCACTCTGCAGCCAGATAAATGCACACAGGTGATCTGGACTGTGAGTTAATCCTCCCCTGTAGCCAGTTTGAAATTGGACCCAGGTGTAAACACACACACACACACACACACACACACACACACACACACACACACACACACACACACACACACACACACACACACACACACACACACACCCACCACCCCCCCCAAAATAACCCAAAGTATGAATGTTTTATTTGGAGAACAGAATGCTTGTATTAGGTGCAAAGTGATTCTGCACATAGTGAGTTCACCGGGTTTTGCTCCTTCTGTGGGATCTGCTCATTAAAACGACTTGGAGGGAAACCAAGCGAATGATGTCAGTTATTTTCTAGCAATCACACTTTCTTGTTCAGATGTTTATCAAGCACTTATTTGGTACTTGCTGCTAGTTATTGCTGACATGGTGGAATACAGAGGCATGGTTTATGACCTTACTGAACTTACAATCTGGTTTAAAAAAAAAACCATGCTATAATGGGTCAGATGCCAATATAGGAGAAATACAAATTGATCTTGGAAGTAAATGGTAAAACACTTGATCAGTTAGTGGGAAATTAGTTATTTAATCTAACACTAATCTAGACTCTTAAGCTTTGCTGTAGGTGTATTATGCAGATGTGGCTAATATCTACACTATACTAACTTTTAAAAAAAAGATTTATGTAAGGGGGCTGTATAGGGGGGAGAAAGAGGAAGAGATATCTAGAAGTACCTTCATCTATCTGCTGACTCGTCCCCCAATGCCCACAAGAGTTGGGGCTGGAACAGGCTGAAAACGTAAGTCTGGAACCCAGTCTGGGTCTCCCCTCCGGTGGCAGGGGCCCCAGGATTTGTCCCATCATCTGCTGTTTCCATGGTGCACTAGCAGGAACCTGAATTAGAAATGGGAGTAGCCGGGGTTCCAGCGGGCACTCCTCTATGAGCGGAGGGGGGTCACAAGCAGTGTCTTAACTTCCTGAACCACAACAGCTGCCCATAGAATCAGTCGGCTGTAAGGAAAAGAGATCACTCTAGATAACGTGGGTGGGCCTCATCTAACCACTTAAGACAAAAACTGAGGCTTCCTGGAAAAGAAATTCTGCCTGCTGACTGGAACACCCCCTCCTGCCCGAGTTTCCAGCCTGCCAGATCTCCCCTCCAGATCTCAGACCCATCTGCCAGCCCCCGGGATTGGGTGAGCCAATTCCTCAGAATACAACTTTTCTATATACATACATATGTGTGTGTACTTATTGGTCCTGCTTTTCCAAAAACTCTACTGGCACAGTTTGTCGGTCATGTTAAAGTTGTGTGAGGCAAGGCGTGGGATGACAAAGAGAAGCTGGGTCATGAAGCATGTCCTACTCACAAGTGAATGAGGACTTTGGAAGGGTAGGATGGCTGGGAGCCAGAGGATCAGATTCACGTTCTAGAAAGGCCGCCTGATTAGATTACCACTGAGCGCAGAAGTCAAGCAACGTTGTGTTGAAATTTTCGCAGGCAGGGAAAATTCTATATTTAAATATATGGAGAAGGGGGTGTTGCTTCTGTTGTAGATTCCAAGATAACTTGGCATCTTTAAGCACCCATGGCCAGGGACGTAAAAAGCTACATAAAGTTATCTGGGCGATCATGACTACAGCTTCCCCCTCGGAAGTTCTCCCTCTTGCTGCCTGGTGGAGCAGCTGTGGAAGTTCAATTCCAGGGTTTGGGGTGGGGGCGGGAGGGTAGAGGTCAACCAGGAATGCCTGCTGAGAAGGGCAAAGAAAAGAAACTTTGCAGATGGCTCCAAGTTCCGCTGAGTCCTGCCTCGCGGGAGGATCCCCTCCGTTTCCACAGCGGCAGCATCCCATGCCTCTTTCAACAGCTCCTGGGCGGGGTTCCGTTCCAGTATCCTAGTGATTGCCCCAAGGTGCAGTCCCCAAGCCTAGGTGGAGCCTGTACCTGCTCACTGGGATCTGGATTTGGGGTGAGGGGCCTGAGAGCGTTAAATTCAGCTAAGGTCTGTGGTCACTTACCTATAATATTTAGCAATTTCCATCTCCCATCAAAAGGGCATTGCCCCCCGAAAGAATTTAATGGGCCCGCCTCCCCCAACCCATTCCCTCTGCACCCCTAAACATCTTCACCCCGACTCTAAGTGTGGGATCTTGTCCAGATCCGAGCTCCTGACCACTAATCAAGTTGGGTGCTGGTGACTAGTTAACCATTCCCTAGGTGTAGATGGGAGGAAGCCAGGGTCTTCCTACTGCCCCCACTCCAGGGGACTCTGGCCATGAGGATGAAGAGGAGCTAGAGCTTGGCTCCCACACCCGCTGAAGGAAGGAGACAGGTTGTGTGTTTGGGTGCCAGATACTGAGGAAGTGGGGTGGGAGGGGGCGGGGGGCGGTGAGGCTGGGTCGGTGGAAGGGGCCAGGAGGAGGCGGCAGGTGATCTCAGGAACTGAGCCCCCAAGCATCTGGCGGGTTTAGGGGCGTCCTGGAAGGCAGCACCAGCAGGGGCGCGGCGGGCTAGGGTCGGGCCAGGAAGCCTGCGGGGAGGTGAGCCCAGGCGGTGAGGTCGTGGGGCGTGGGGGAGGAGGCGGCGTCGGCGAGGGAGAGGGAGGTGCACAAGGAGGGCGAGGAGCGGGCGAGGGGCGAGAGCGGAGGGCCGGGCAGGCAGCTGCTGCTGCTACGGGCGCCCAGCTCGTGCCACACCCCCCTCCCCGCGGGGCAAGGAGGGCTCAGCCGGGGGAGACGCACAAAGACATGCGAAGAGGGGCTGAGCAGGCGGGGGCACAAAGACGCCGGGGCGCACGGCTGCTCGGGCTGCACCGACCGCCCCCGCGCCTCGCCGCGCCGGGGCCAGGCTAGCGCCAAGCCCGGGGTCGATCGCGCGGCGGCGGCGGCTGCTGCTGCGGGCCGGCGCGGGAACCGGCTCGCCCGCGCTCTCCGGGTGACCCGGGCCCGGCAGCAGGGCGCGCGTGGGGGCGGTGGCGCCCGAGCCCAACTTGGCCTCGGCCTCGCCCTCTGCCCAGCCTGCCGGTGTCCCCTCCTTCCCGCGATTTCGTTTCTTCTCACGCTCCCCCCCACCCCCGCCCGCGTCCAGCCCCGCTCTCCCCACCTTGTAAAACAAAGCCGGGGAAAATGCTTGCCCGTGCAGCTCGGAGCGCGCAGCCCGTCTCTGAATAAGAAGTGAGTACAATGGCGTGTTTGTAAAAAAAGAAAAAGAAAGAAAAAGAAAGAAAAAGAAAAAAGAAAGAAAAGAAAAAGAAAAGCTTCAAGTCCTTTTTTTTTTTTTTTTTTTGGAAAAAAAATAATAAACCCATTTCGAATGCTGCATGCCTCATGCTTCCCAGCGCCTCGCGGGAGAGACCCGACTGTAGAGCAGGAGGTGAGACCCCCCTAGGACCCCCTATCCGCCGGGCCGCGCTCTCCTGCCTCTGCCTGTCCCGCCCCGGGCTGCAGATGCCCGGTTTGCGGCAGCCAGGCGTTTCCAAACATCTCTGTTTCCCGTCCAAAGCGTCGGGTCATGGTGTGGATTTGGAGACGACTCAGCAGCCCCCGGGCCGCTTCTGCCCTTCGCTGCGGGGCTGTGGCATCTCCCTCGGGTCTGGGTTTGGAGCACCTTGGGGGCTTTCCGATGGAGGCAGGGGGTCAGCGCTCGGGAGCAGCAGATGCTCTGGTTGCGCGGTGACCCCGTCACACTTGTTGCCCATTGCCTGGTGGGACACGCAGTGGTGCTGAAAAAAGCTTGTTTTTCTGGCAATTCGGTGGGCAGTGGCGGCTGGAGGGAAGCCCAGTCTAGGTGAGGACGGGAGCCCGGCATTAGGAGGAGACGGTGCTGTTCCCCCGGAGGTGAGGGGGCAGCGATGGAGCTAAAGGGTCTGCTTAATTCCCTGGTTACCCATCACAGGGTAGGAGTAGAGACCCTGAGGCTACGCCGCGTGTGAGGGGGAAAAAAGGCTGCGTGAACAAATATTTTTGTTTTCCTGGTGTTTCTCCGGCTTCTGCCCATGCTGCCTGCCAAATGTGCATTGTGTAAATATATCTGCTAATTAGAAAATACAGCTTTAAGAAATTAAGCTCCCTAGGGATAGGGTTTAGCTTTTAACGGGTGCGTGCACATACAACCTTTTTAAAGGAAAATCTGTCCTTTTTAAAGTATAGGATGGCAAGATCTGAGTGGAATTTGGGGAAGGGGAGGAGAATGGTAGCATCTAGATATTCACTGGTGATGATTTCCAATTCTGCACGGTGGAAGGCACTGATATGGAAAATCCGAAATAGGAGCTGGTGAGAGGCTTGGAGGGCTTCCTGTGAAGAGACGATGTGGAACTCCTGTGTGGTTTTCTGTTATTTTTCTTCCAGAAAATGACTATATTTTAGGTTATGACTTATTTTTCACTTGGACTCAGCAGCTTGGGGAAGGGGATGGCAAGCTTACAGTGTGACAGTGACTTTTAGCAATTATCAGCACTTCTATTCGAAAAGAGTGTGTGTGGTTAATTAAAACATTTTCAACACATGCTCCGTGCTCATTTGGAGTGCTCTTCATTCGTGTTTTAAAGGTGTCTGCTAGATGGTGGCTCTACTCGGAACAGGTGGAAAGGGAAACGCGTGTGCGTCTGTATGTAATAGGTTGAACCTTGCGGGAGGCTGCAATGAGCCGTGTGTAGGCGGCATCTCTGTTTGGACGGCTTGTCCTCAGTGCAGCTCTGGTGTCATCTCATCACAGGCGGAGCCATTCAGAGCTTGGCTGTTGGGGACCCATCTCCCCTGCCATCATTTCACACTACCTCGGCCTAATGCTTTAAATAGCTTTGTTGGCAAAGCTTCTTTCTGATGGATATGTGAAGATATATTTTATGAACTGAAGCCATGAGAACTTGCATTTAACACCCAGTGTTCGACAAGAGAGCAGGGGGGTGAGGCACGTGAAAATTGGCATCCTCTGATGGCCTTTGATGCTTAGGTAATTTCAGGTGCCACGATGGTGGTTGGTTGGAATTCTATGGGGATGTCTTCCATATCGATCTGAAAATGTAGGTTTGATTATGTTACCATTTTATTAAAATCTGTCATCTACATAGTGGCGACTTTCTCATATGTCTCCAAGATTGGTGAACTTTAAACTGATTATTGTGTTTGAATTTTTTTTAAACCTCCTGACTCTTAGCCATTCTAGTAATCCTTTTAACTCAGTGTTACCTTTCTAATCCGATGTACTGTAGCAGATGACTGATTCTGCTGTGTAGGAAGTAGACATGCAAGATCTCTCGTATTTTTGAAAAGAATTCAATTATTGATATTTTTGAACAGCTGGGATAAGCATCAGTGAGTGTAGGAACTTGTAAGAAAACATTGACATCCGCTCGAGTGGAACCATTAGCTGTGTTCAGAGTACGTTAGTGTCCTAGTTGGGAGCCAAAGTCTTCATGTACTTTTTTCTTGATATTGTTCACTGTTGAAATAAAAGGAGTTAACTTACCTAGGATTTTTGCCACCATGGCTATCAGCACTTTCTATAAGCATATTTCCAGACGTTTATGGGAAATGACATTAAGAAATTTGTTTTGGTGCCAAAAAATTATTTTGGAATCCATAATGTACATTTCCATGACCCCTTTGAAGATATATTTTTTAAACATGTCAGAGATGGAATCACAAAATGATGGGACTACTTCATTATGAGCCTGCTTTGGAAGGTGAACACAAAAAATGATTGGACTGTTGAGTGGTTTATTTGTGTCATGTTTTGCTACAAGATTATGCATGATTTCTTTTGAATAACAATGTTTGAAACAGAAATTTTCTTGTAATTATTGTATTACAATGCATTTAAAAACAAAACTAGAGAGTATTCTTTGCATCAATTTGCATATAATGTAAATTTCTGAGACTAGGAAAGACCAGGAGCCTTTGTGAATACTCCTACTGTGGCTAAGAAGCGTCAACTCTTCGGAGTTCAGTGTGTCTTCGTTGACAGGCTAGTGGAGAGATACTAGTTTAGAAAGGTAGCCCACAGACAGTTCTGTTTAGTGTTTCTTTTCTTTCTTTTTGATTTTTTTTTTGTTTGAGTCTGCCTCCAGTGTTTTTCCTTTTCACCTGCGGTTCCGGGGCAGCAGAGTGCAAAGGTCAGGCCCCTTTCCCATGAGCCTCTGTGTATATATGATCCTGCTGAGGTCCAGTGAGAACTCTGTGGTTAGGTCCTGGAGCTTCCACCAAGACAGCAAGTGGAGCCCAGGCAGTCTCTGCAGAGCCCCTGTAGAAGCAGGACCGCCAGTTCCCCTGTCTCATCCTCTCGGATCTAACCTTCTTTCTCTGTTGTTGCCAGTGGCGGCACCTGACTTGCTGGATCCTAAATCTGCTGCTCAGAACTCCAAACCAAGGCTCTCATTTTCTACGAAACCCACAGTGCTTGCGTCCCGGGTGGAGAGTGACACGGCCATTAATGTTATGAAATGGAAGACGGTCTCCACGATTTTCCTGGTGGTCGTGCTCTATCTGATCATCGGAGCCACTGTGTTCAAAGCCTTGGAGCAGCCTCATGAGATTTCACAGAGGACCACCATTGTGATCCAGAAGCAGACATTCATATCCCAACACGCCTGTGTCAACTCGACTGAGCTGGACGAACTCATCCAGGTAATGGCAAGGGATATGGTACACCATTTCCTCAAAGGGGACACGGAGACCGTGAGAATAGGAAGGAACGGCCCAGAGCCCAGTGCAGTTTGGAAGTGCCAGGTACAACCCTGGTTCACCTCTGCTGCTTAGCAGCAACCCATTGCTTTATGCCTTTTCTCGATTTTCTTTTCCTTTCCCCTTGCTTCTCCCATTGCTCCCTCTCATTCTCTTCTTTGCCTGTTCTATGTATTTCTTTATGGTGTTTTCTTGCTTTCTTCCATGTTGCCTGTCATAAAACTGGCAGCGGACATTCTGGACATGGTGTGATTGTTCCAGAGGTTCTCATGGTTGACAGATAATTGCAGACCAAGAGGCCAATGGAAGGTAAATTCCAAGACAGAAATCTTGGCCATGCCCATCATAAGAGAGAAAAGACGAATTTGGGTACCTCTCACAGTTAAAAAGTTGTAGCTCACTTTTTACATCGAGTGTAGGTGAAATGCTGATAATTACATCTTTGATTTGTGGAGGAAGAAGCAATTATTACCCTCTAAATCCTGAAGAAAACTATAACACTAAACATACTGTTGTACAGAAAAGTAGATATTTTTAGACAAAGACTAATTTATTTTTTGTTTATACTACCAGAACAAATCCTATGAAGAAACATTTTAAAACTTAGTTTCCAAGTGCTTAAGTTTCTGTTAGACTCTTGAGGTCCTAAGATTTTTTTTTACTGTTGTTTGCTATTGTTATTATAGGTATACATAAAAATAATTCATTAGCCAAACCATGCAATTTGATAAAAAAGAAAGAATTTACTTTATGAGGGGAGACTTGACTGGTTTGGGGAACAGATTTAACACACATTTATTTCCCCATAAATCCCACTTGGATTACCTGGTTTAATGAGAATTGGACTGTGGCTCATCACCTGAGCGTGTTCTTCCTCATTTTATGTTTGGATTTACTTCATGTGAATGAATTGGCATAGCAGTTGGCTTAATTCAGTTTCTTAATCTAGGACCTTTAGTGTCATCACCCTTTGCCCTGGGTCTTCAAATGCTGCCACTGCCTTTCCTAACCCTCTGTCTTTATAGCATGGCCTTGCAAGTCCTTACTGAAGTTGTGTTAAAACTCCTGAAGTTGGTATTCTCTGATTCTTATTTAGACATTTCTGAATGTCACCTGTTGGGCTTAAATTTTTCAAAATTCTCTTCACATGATTATATGGTATACTGAACTTTGTACTTTTAAAAGATGGTGGCAAATTCAGTGATGGCACTGAAGCTACTTGTCCCAGCTTCCACTTCCCTTGATCACATGTAAGATCACTTGAACTTCACTCTTTGTTCCATGTGATCCCCTGGAGTTCCACAAAAATGCTCACTTCTTTTGGGTTTTAGAAGAGCTCATGGTTTACTGGGTGGAGGGAGGCTGCCCAGAGTAGTGGCCAATGTTCAAATTTTGGAATCTGTTAGGATGAATTTTTAGTTCATTGAGTGCTTTACCACATGTCATCTTGAACAAACGACATTTTACTCTCTGACTTAAACACCATCCCTTTGGATTGAGGAAAGACTGCCTGTCAATAGGGTTGATATATTGAGGGAATTCACGTGTCTTACTGAGGACCCCAAAAAGGCGAAGGTTGATTGCTTGATGTTATTTTGCCTTCCTTGTCCCTGTGGTGGGAGTAGCGCTTAATTCAGGTAGCTTCACTTTCAGCCCCTAGAGTGAGGTGGTGGTGGTCTAGAGCAGGGCAAAAATGAATGACTGAAATTTTAGCACAGTGCAGGAGGAAACTTGTATGGGTTTGAAAATGATCTCACTCTTCAGTACTATTCATATTTACTCAGAAATCTGAAAATAACTTCAAGGTCATAGCAGCTGGGGGCACTCTACTGGTGAATACTTTTTTTCCCTAATTTTTCCTCTATGTTGTTTTTAAAATGGGTACAACCATTAGAACTATTTTCTTTCTCTTATGCTTGGACATTTCATGTTAGATTTGTTAATGTTTGCTGTGTGTTGGGTATTTTTGCATTTTAAAACATGTTCATGCTCAGCATTTTCCACACTGAAAATTTGTCATCGTCTATTGTCCTGTCAATCACCTTTGCAATCCCATGATTTTAACAAATTATTTTGTTCTTGAATGCAATTTCTTTCAAGCCAGTATTTTTTAAAGTTTATTTTAAAGGCAGAGAGACAGAGGAAGAGATAGAGGTCTTAAATCGAATGGTTCACCCTCCAAAGGCCGCAATAACTGGGGTTGGGCCTGGAGCTGCTTCCAGGTCTCCCACATGGGTGCATGGTCCCTACCACTTGGACCATATTATGCTGCTTCCCCAAGTGCGTTAGCAGGAACCTATATCAGGAGTAGGACAGCTGGAATTTGAAGCAGTGATCATATGGGATGTTAACATTTCAGGCGGTGGTTTAGCCTGTTGTGCCTTAAGACCAGGGCCCCCAAAAGTAATCTTTTCAGCATCATGGCTTCAGGGATTAAAAAGTGTGTCAGAAGGAAAGGAAAATGAACCGGGCATCATTTATTAGTGGTGCATGCATTTCATTTATATGATTCTTACACATTTCTAAATGTTTTCTCCACTCCTCTCTTGACATTCAATTGCCGTGTAAAACCTTGTGTATAGATGTGCAAGGCAGTAACATTCCAACATTTGTATTAGGAAATGCAGATAGGGTAAGCCCAGTGACTTCCCTTAAGGAGTGTTGTTCAGATGTGAAAGTGCAAGGATCAGGAGTCTTGGTTGGCATTGTCCATGGAACCCCTGCTCATTCAGGCCTTACCTTCTTTCTGTGCTAAAGGCAGACATAGTCAAAGTGGCAAGCACTTCAGCACACAGCTGATGGAAGAGGAATTCTGGCCTCTGTGTTTGGAAAACCGGGAAGGAGGGAGTGGATAATCAGAGAGCAGGCCAACCACGGGCAGTTCATCTATAATCTGCTCCAGGTCTCAGGTTGTTAATTACAGCTGTAGATGAACTACAATAACTTGATTCCATGTTCTGGTGGTTGCGTGGGGTAGGGCAGCTGAGGTGAGAGAGAGAGGAGCGGGAGGGTGATGGCTGTTTCTGTTACAAAGCCTGTGTGGGGTTGTGAATACATCATGCTTTCAGGGCTGCTTTTGATACTAGTGCTTCAAGACCGGACTGGGAAAGGACAGGAATATCAAGACAGAGATACCTACTCAGCTGAAATCTTGAGCAGTGTGATTTCCAACTCCCAGTAAATGTAAATTAATGTGACATCAGAAGAATAAAAATATAGGGAAACCTTTTTACATTTTGAGAGTCATAAATACCAGTTCGGTGAACACTTACCCTGTGCAAAGCATCATTTTAACCCTTTATACGTATCATTTAATTGAATTCTCTTAGTCCTATGAGTTGTGTGCATTGCTGGCTGCAGTTATGCACGTGGAAACTAAAGCAGAGGAAGCCTACATTGCTCGGAGTGAGCAGTGAGTGATCTGTTATTGAAAGGAGGTGAACAGAACTTGTGTTCTTGGTTCTTGAATTTTCTGACGCTGAGAAAAATGTAAAGATACATTGGATGTAAAGTTCCCATGTGTGAGAACATAACGAATATTATGTTGTCTGTACACTGGGGTGTCTAGAATATTCTTTTTCCAAGACTGAGTTTGTGATATGGATTTGAATCTTTTTCTTGGGTGGAATCACTGCTTTCCTGTTTGGAATGGTAATTCATAAACTGCTAATCCATGAAGTGGTAACCCAGGACAGCATGGCTATGTTATATGTACCTGGTGTTTAATTTAGATATTTAGGTGTTGGTTAATTCTGGGGTTAAAACAGAGCTAAATGTGTGAGCTATGCATTAATTATAAAAATACCCTATAAGAGTTTGGACTCTAAAATATTTTTAAAGATTTACTTATTTGAAAGGAAGACAAAAGGGAGGGATCTGTCTTTGATCTTCTGGTTCATTCCTGAAATGACCACAATAGCCAGAGCTGGGTATGGTCACGGCCGGGAGCTGGGAACACCATCGAGGTCTCCCCATGTGGGTGGTGGGGACTCAGCTACTTGAATCATCTTTGCTTTTCCAGATACATTAGCGGGAAGCTGAATCCAAAGAAGAGTAGCTGGAACTTGAAGCAGTGCTTTGATATGTGATGTTGGCATTGAAGGACCATAGCTTAACCCACTGCGCTGTCATACCCAGCCTGGGAGTTGGCTTTTGATTGTTAATTTAAGCTGAATCCCCTGTGAGCAGGCAAGGTGATACTCTGCTCTTAGGCGAAGAAGTGAACACCTGTTTGTGAAGGGCATCTGGTGGCCCAAGGTCCAGATCCTTGTCATTATTCTGCTGAGAGGATTATTTTCTTTCTGCATGCCCCCTTCTTGTTTTGGTTGAATCAGAGCCATTTGTTGAGACCTTCCAATGTGTTTGACCTCTGTGCTAGTTTTGAAGCAAATAATGGCTGCTCTCATGGCACCCCCTCCTACATAGTCAAGCAGAGGATACTGCTATAATGATAGAAACAGCCAAATAACTCATGAGTAGTCTGGCAATTGTTTGAATTGGAGAGATGATGATGAGGAAATCAAGAACTTAATGACAAGTGGGGAAGACCCAAAATAAAATGTTAAAAGGAAACTGGGTCTCAAGGATACCCAAGAGTGGTCTGGGGGGATGAAGACATTCACTGGACAGTGCCAGCAGGGTAGACCTGGTGTGGTCAGGTAATAGGATTGTTTGTGTGAGAGGGGCAGGGACATGTGTGGCAAGTGGACTGGGGCCTATAATTCCACACCAGGGAAGTGGGTTGTGTCCTAGTCCTGTTCTCTTCTGCTAGGTGTGTGTACCTGGTTGGGCTTTTGGGTGTGTGTCATGGGTAACATAGTCCTGCAATACAAGTGAATGACAGGCCTTGCTACTATGCCACTAAAACTAGATGTAAGATACACAGTATATAAAATCATATGCATATTGCCCTACGTAATGTTATAATCATTCATTCATTTGAA